TTCTTTATCATCGTCTAATAAACATATGCATAACAAGCATCATTGAACGTTGCATATGGTACACCACCAAACATTTGTATATCCTCATAACTTGTTGGAACCTTCTCCGCACTGAGAAACATCTTTAAATAATACACCTGACCTAGCATAGGAGGCATGTATGTAATTCTAACAATAACTTTCTCTTACATTCTCAGCTCCCATTACAACCTTTATCGTGCATAATATGCTATTGTATTCCATCCATGCAAGAAACTTTGACATACAAGATCATTCTCGTTATACACGACTAATTGCTGATTTGGTAGATTAAACAAAACTTTCTCAATCGATGTAGTACGATATTGTATAGGGAAGGCGCAGGGATCCATCAAGTAGCCTCGTACGCGGACGCGTACCTACACAATTTTGATTTAACTATAAGTTGTACATCAAAAACCAAAAAAAAAAAGATCATCAAATTAACAATATAATTTAAAAATATATGTTCAGACCCATAGATATAGTGCATCTTAATTCTGTTTTTCTTATCTTTTCTTGTAATATACGCATGCAAAATATTGTGATCTTTGGTGATATAATTGAACAATTGCTTAAATAAGCGTGATTGGTTGTACCACTCTACGAGTTCGATGACGAAGCAATATGTTTTTGGAATAATATATCTATTATCACAATCAAATGCTTTCTTATGAACAGTTTTTTTCCTTTATTCTTCTTTTATAAATACGATATCCACCTTCATCAGTCTTTGTTATTGGAAAAAAAATTGGTAAGAATTTGGAACATTTTCCTTCGACCATACAAATATTACTTTTATTGATGCTGTCACTAACAACCTCACACAAAAATATTTTTAACTCTTTATCTGGAATCTTGACACTAACTTTTTTGTGACTGTAAATACTCCATATATTAAACTTAAAATTCATAGATACTGGATTCGAGAGCCAGTCATTCTAGAAAAATTGAATCTATATGAGAAAATATCAAACCACGGGCTTGAGCGCTCTTAGTGAGACAATCAGCCCGAACATTAAGGGAGTGTGGAATAAAGATTTAGAAAGATTATGAAAATTGGGGCGTAGATACTCCAGTTCTTCTAGTTTTATTGATATGGCCAGCCATTCTTCTTACTCTTCAACCATATTAACCAATTGTAAACAATCTGTCTCAATCACCAAACTGGTTATCTACATCGGAAGAAGAACTCTCATAGCCCATAGGAGAGCTTCAAATTTGGCATGTAAAGGTGGGAGAACTTGCTCTGAGGCTACACCGCCTGCTGTGTTTCCATCCGTAACCGAGGAGGCATCCACTTGGCACCTTGGGTACAGAAGTCTATCTTCAATCTGGCTTATCGCTATGCTTACTACTTGCAGATATGGCACATGAATGGTATATGTTTCTTCCCCCACATTTACGACCTTCAGCGCAACTTTCTAGAACTCTGCTTCTTGCATAGCTATCTCCAGTGTATCTGTTGGCACAATCTCTTTGTTATTAAAGACCTTTTAATTCTTGGCCTTCCATGTATACTATATAATCTAGGAAAATGGCTCCAAGGAATTTGAAACTTCTCCTTGTATTGCGACCTGGAACAAGGGGTATGCAAAGTTTTGGGAGATTACTGTACTCGAGAAAATAGCCAAAGGCGATGGGATTGCGCTTAAATCCCACGTTTTGTAGCACTAGAAAGGATTCAAAGAGTACATGATTAATCGACTCTATCTCTGCTCCACAGCGGTGGCATCGGGTATCTGTCCCACAATGGTGATACATTAGTTGACTATTGGTAGCCATACATCCCGAGAGAGCCTGCCACATGAAATGTTTTATCTTTCGAGGGATCTTTAGAGCCCAAACTTTAACTCTTTAAAGGAGTAAAACTCGGCTCTATGACCAGTGGCATTCCTTCTTCGTTTTGAATTATATTGTCAGATAATAACCAGTCCTTATAGAGTATATACCTCTAGAGTACATCCACACAAACATATCTGGTTTATATAACCTACTCGGTCTTATGCGTGCTCTGTATACGTGAAATATCTACCAAATCAGATAAAAGATTTAGTAGGCCAACCCGCCATTCAGATGTGGCTGGATTTATTAGATGATGTACATACAGGTCCAGATCTCTCCATTCTCCTATGTCTAGAGCGTGTCTTGGTGGACATACCACGATCCAGTTGTCATACCACACTTTTGTACTTATCCTAGAATTGATTGCTTTCGTCAGACTTTTTTGAAGAAACTCGCTAGCTGCCATAATACTCCGCCATCAATAGGATGGGTTATTAGCTTTTTCAACCTCCATAGGGGTCAAATATTGGTAGTATCTCGCTCGTAGAACTCTCGTCAAGAGGGATGACAGATATTTGATCAATCTCCAAAGTTGTTTTACCAGAAGGGCCAAATTAAAGATTTTAAGGTCTTAGAACCCTAAACCTCCTTTATCTTGGCTTACACATATTTTATCTCAGATAATCCAGTGCTCGATTATTTTGTTTCGTACTCCACCAGAATCGGGATATATCGCCATTCAGATTTTTTAGTAAAGCCTGTGGGAGGAGGAAGCATGACATGACATAAGTAGGTAGAGCTTGTGCTATCGACTTAATAAAAACTTCCCCCCCCCCCTGTAGTTTTGTGGAACACGCATTTATCTGAGTACTTAATCTATCTTAAATAAAGGCAAAAACTTGCTTTTTGAGCCACAAATCTTCTCTGATAGTCCTATGTATATTCGCATACCACCTTCTTTAGAGATGCCTAAAGCTTGTTTAGAATCTGTCATTTTCTCTAATGGGACCTTACTTCTGAAGAAGATAGGAGATTTATCACACTTTAGTTTATGCCCAGAAGCTTTCCCATAGCAGTCGATAATCTTTATCAATTCTTCACATTCTGGCTTGTCTGCTTTACAGAATAACAGTCTGTCATCTGAAAAGAGAAGATGCAAAATGGGTGGACATGTCTGAGCCACTTTAATCCTGGTAATCCTTCCTTCCGAATTTATCTCAAAGATTGCTTTTTTTATTTCTTCATCAGAGGGATAACTTGTAAGTGCAGTAATTACAACTGAGCCTCATCAAAATCTTGAGGCTGGGATGTCATGAACAGATCTTGGAAGCAATCCGCAGCCACCTTTTCCAGCCCCTACTCATTCTCTATCTAGACTCCTGAGTCATTTTTTTATTTTAATGATCCTATTTCTAGCTCTTCTTTGCTTAGCCATAGCATGAATTATGTGTGTGTTCTTGTCTCCTTCCTTTAACCAATTTGCCCGACCCTTCTATTTCCAATATAGTTCTTCTTTCTGAAAAGCTGCGCCAAGATTCCACTTCAAAGTTAAAAGTTCATCGTTTGAGACAGAATCATCTAGTTGGGAAATTTTCAGCTTCTCTTCGATCTCCTCAATCGTTTTAATTGCATTAGACTGGTGAAGGCGTCTCCAGGTCGATATTACTTTCCTACAATTCCGAATGTTGGCATGCAGATCTGGTGAACTTGCGACATCGGAGGTTCCCCACCCCTCGATGGTTGTCTTTAATAAGCCTTTCTTCCCTAGCCATCTCTTATCAAAGTTAAAATTCTTCTTAACCCTGCCCTTTTGTAAATTGAATATGAGCCATAACCGGCCGATGATTAGAGTCCTATAATTTCAGATACTCTACATAAGTGTGAGAAAATTTATGGCACCACTCTTCATTACCTATTGCTCAATCAAGCTTACATCGGACTCTACAACTCCTTCTATTTACGACCCAAGAAAAAGAGTTGCCTTTTGTTGAGAATTCCACCATTTCGATGTGCTCAAGCATGGTATTGAAAGGTATGAAAGATACATTTGGGCGTTTCTGGCTTCCTGTTTTCTCATGGTGGCATGTAATCTCGTTAAAATCTCCACTCAGGAACCACATACCCGTTCTCGTGGTACTTATCCATGTAATTTGTTCCCAAAATATTTTGCGAAACTCAATGACCGGATCACCATAGACAAAAGTCATAAAGAATGGCTGTCCTTCTATCACAGCTTCCACGTCTATCAGACGATTATTCGAGAGTCCACCGGTTGTACTTTCTGGTTCCACGGTGAACAATTAACTATAACCAAGAAAAAACTGAAAGTCTTGCATAAAAGAAAATGAGTTTTCTGTTTTAGAAGGAAAGAAAAATAGAGGAGAAAGATAGCGGTGCAGCTCTCAGAAGTGTTGTTTGGTCAGATAAACGTATGCACCTTGATAATTTCATAAAATTATATTCATATTCTCTTATTAGGTGGTTTATGGGCCCCACTGAACCTGAAACAGCAAACGTCTTCATAATTATAGCAGAAAGAAACATCTCATTACAAGGGACAAAATTTTTACGAGATTGTATTAATACATGATCCCTGTCTTTTCTTTGGTGAGGCTCGGCCTTAAAGCACCCCCATCTCTAGCTTTTGGACAACGTAGGGTATGTATTTTGTACTTGGATCCGTGAGAAGAGTGTTTGCTTAATTGTTTCTTTACCATTCCACATGAACGAACATGGACATCATCATTCTTTTCTTTTGTTTTTTCAGATATTTCTGATCTTGGTGATGGTGTTAATTGCGAGAGTGCATCAATTATCTCCCTCCCTTCAAGCTCTTCACCCAGCAAGTCATCATTATATATCTCATGTTTGTCCTTGACATATTGATTCTCTTCCACCGCTATTTTATCAAATTCTTCCAGTTCAATTATCTATCATCGGTGGTGGTGGAGTCAGTTCTTCTCCCAGCTCCTCTGATGCCATACCCTCATCTATATCCATTTACACGGTTTCCACTAGAATCTTATTTATTAACGGTTGTCTTATCGACGTTGGCATGTCTTGAGTCTCCGGCTCTCTTATGACCAGCGTTCCGGGTTTCTTCAAATAATTGTATTGTATCGGTCGTTCTGTCACTTGTGCTTTACCCTTTAAGCGTCTCTTTCTTTCCTCCTCTATTTCACTTTCTTGAGCAACAATCAATCCGGACCTCTCATTTGGGAATCTGAGATGCCTTTTGAAACCTCCGATACCGGATGAGAAGGTGGTGAGTGCCGAGACGTCTCCTCATCTTTGATTTCCGTTTGCTTCGATTTCCTAACCGCCTTACAATTACCTGTATCATTTCTCCTAGATTGTATCTCGTACCCAGACTTTGGGTATGTGAAAATTTTCTTGCGATTGCGTGGAAAAAGCCCTGCATTCGGTTGATCAAGTCTTTTCCACACATCTATACTATGGGCTTGCCTCCTTTCGTTAAGGTCTGTACGAAGATCCCTTTCTCTAGTACTATCCTGAGCAAAATATCAATCAACATTAGTGACATATCGGTTGTTACTTCTCTGTTGAGACTCATAGATTCTCCTTTCTTCATTGACACGCAAAGCCTCTCTGTCTGACCCTAAATTTGTTTTACTAAAATTGTTGGGATGGAATTCAGGATTCTGAGATTCAGATTTGTATATTTCTCTTGCATCTCTCATGAAGTCCCTTGGCTGATTCTGAAACCTTATATCCCTATGTTCCTCCCTTTGTGATCTTTTACGTTTAAGAGTATCTTTTGGAGTCCATGGGAGCTGCTGGGAGATCTCCTGATTTATTCTCGCATCTGATTCTTCACTATGCTTACGGTGGATCATTCTTTCATTTGCAGGCACCTCCAGGCAAGAAATAACTTCATCAGATTATGTGCCTACACATAAAACAGTAACGCTGAAGCCCTTCATATTCAAAGTTAACTTTGCCAATATCACCGTTAGGGAAACCCACACGTCTTTCGAATTGTAGAGGCTCATAAACGTTGATGGAAACTTGGAATCTTGCATTTTCTGCATCCGTTACAACGACACATCCCATTGCTTTGTTGATGGCCTTAAATGTATCATCATTCCAATCGTGATTGGGAACTTTGTTAACTTTAAGCCAGAATGTCATCGTATTTAGGAAGTCCTCCTGTGTAGAAGGTTCCAACCTCGCAAAGGCAAAGCTCCATCGCTTGAAGTGACATGGTCGCTTTGCTAACACCTTCACTAGATCCTTCTCCTTTTCGAAGTCAAACTAAAACCTTCTGTTGTCTAGATTTGTTCCCTTAACTCTCCCTTTGGGACACCCAAATCCTTGCTCTTAGTAGTTGTGCTAATAATGCCTCATACTCCTTCCCTCACGGTAGAACATTCTCCCAATAAGTGTTCTTTTAAAGCTTTCTGACACGGCCACCAAATCGCATGCCATGATCTTGATAATATCGTCCTCTGGTAACTTTGGACGTCTTCTTGTTTGCGACATAGTCACCCCTTGATGCAACATCCTAGATCCATAACTCATTAGGTCTTTATTCCCAACATTGTATTAATACCAGATCAGAAAACTATAGCCTTCTTTCTTCCCTTGCACGATATCAATTAAAACAAAACACAACAGACTCCTCAGGTGGAGAAGACTGTTTTCAAGTGGATGCATCATGGGGAAACAAGGATCAACTATTCGGCGTTGGTTTTATACTACTCAAGGATGGCGAGACCCAGCTGTTGGGTTCAACTGCAGGTAATCTGGTACCCTCCCCTCTCCACGCAGATTTTGATACACTATTATGGGCAATGCAAACAATCCAGCTCCAAGATTTCAAAAAGATGCACTTCAAAACGAATTGCCTACAATTGATTAAACTTATTGAAGGAGATGAAGATTAGCCGATCCTAGTATCAGAATTAGAAGAATTTAAGAATCTATGCTCTTTATTTACTGAATTCATTTTGTCCTTTATCCCATGTACACTGAATTTTCGAGCTGAAGCTCTGGCTAAAGGGACTTGATCTCGTGGTTTCATTTTTCCACATGTAAACTCTCTGGTTCCAAATTGGATAGCCAGTAAGGCTAACTTGTTTGCACCAGGAAATTAATAAAAGTGGGTTGAGTTGCTGTAAAAAACAAAAAAAAAACAAAATAACAACACCGATCGAGAATAAATCCAGCAGAAACTAAAACACTTATCTTGGAGAGAGCTTGATGAGAGAGGAGATCAGAATCTCGGCACTAATCACATTGTTAATATTATCAGCATTTTTTTAATTTCGAATATGGATAGAGAAAATGTATTATATCCCCATACACTTTCCACCTCTTTTGGAAGTCAATTTTGTATATAGCTGAAACAAAAACACATGATATAAATAACTGTAAATCATGTTTTCCCACAAAAACTACAAAATTACGTTTTTCCGTCAAAATCGTGAAATCACATTTTCCACAAAAATCGCAAAATTATGTTTTTTCGTAAAAGTTGCAAAATTTATACCAAAACGTCAAAATTGCAAAGTTGTATTTTTCTATCAAAATTTTAAAATTTTGTTTTATTTTTCCATCAAAATCACAAAATCATATTTTTCCGTCAAATCTGCAAAATTGTCAAAATAATATTTTTCCATTTAAAGCATAAACCATTGTTTTCCGCCAAAATTAAAACACTGCATTTTTACGTAAAAAAACCTTACAAGACTGTAAAACTTTGTTTTTTTAAAAAAAAATTAATCATAACAGTTAAATTATATTCTCCAAAAAGACTCGAAACTGCATTTTCATACCAAGATCATAAACTACTTTTGATAAATAATGAGTTTTAAGTTATTTTTGTATTAATTTGAATAAGTAGAAATTTAATATAAAATATTCTTTTAGTCATTTTGATATATTTTGTGTCTTGATTTTTTTTGGTATAATTTCACAAATGAAAATTATTAAACCATTTCCACTTAGCCACACAGATATAGATCTTTGTTTTCGGTCTATTTGAATACTTTGAGAAAGGATCTATCCATGGGCTACATATTCTCTAAAAATTAGTTTGAACCCCTCCAAAGGTCTGAGATTCCCTGATTTATCAAAAAAAAAAAAAAAAACATTGTTGTATCCAATTACAAAAGTTAGTTTAGGAAATGAACTTCTAAACTAATATTGTTTAACTGATCTTTCGTATATAAAAGTTGCATATAGATGCAGAATTTAGAGGCAACATCCAGATCAACAAATGAACAAAGCGTAAGTATACATATTTTCTTGATTTTGGTAATGACTGTTGATACATAAGTCTTTTTTTTCTAAGAATTCTTGTCACAGAACAAAGCTTTACTCTTGAATATTAATGAGAACAAATACTGTTGTAACTAAATCGTTCAATAACTGAAGCGTTCTTCACCTACGAGTTTTCTTATCCACTGCTTTGATTAATGACCACTCTGAAACCATTAAATCCAAAAGTCACCTCATCATCTTGCGTTTCATTTTTCTTCTTAATTATATATACAGCCACAAAATCATAGAGAAATTGTGACCTACCTAATTTTCTGTCCTTTTTCTCCTGTTTTCTTTAGGATTATATTTTACAAAACTTCTCCAGAAGAATAACTTGACTTGTCAATGTTCTCATTTTACGAAAAATGAAACGCAAAATGATGAGAGTGAAAGGATGCACATATAAGTAACTCCAAGCAGAAAAAAAAAACAATGCATTTTATCAAAAAGGATGCATTAGTTTAAGAAATAAATACTTATAAAGAATCTAATTTCAAACAAAAAAAGCAATCTATTTAAGCTACATACACGCTTAAGTTACCAAAAATCATCATCAATCAAAATTGCAAGAAGAAAAAGTGTGATTTCTCCAAGCTTTAAAAACTTTTTTTTTGACAAAGAAAAAAATAATAAAGTTTTTAAAGACTTTGTGTTCCATTGTCACTGCAGTATTAATACTCTGTAGTGCTCATCCCCATCAATACCATGGGAGTAACAGAAAGAAGAAACTGAGAGCATTGTCCCTTCTTGCTGCTGTTTTTCTTCACCTCCTCCGTTTCCACACACAATGTATTATTCTGCTATTATTTGTCACTTTTGCCTTTGTGATGTAAAACTCATAGGACTCTCTCTCTCAACAGCCATCTGCTGCTTGTCCTTCTGCATATTGTTGATCATCTCGGTTGAGGAAGTCGTAGGCACCATTGCATACCTGGTTCTGGTTTGTTCATCACCAGCATGGTGGCAAACAGACTATATGATGAAGACATCCTAACTGAGCCACAAGTAGCGCAAATGATAGAACTACTAATCGTTTCTGAACTAGGAGCCATGACCAGAGAAAGAGCAAGGGTACTTGAGCATAAATACAATCAATACTACATGCAGACCATGAAGATTTCAAAGAAACCCAATGCTTACACGCATGGACCGGACCACTTGAAGTATCATTGGCCCAAATTCAAATACACGAGACTTCTGGTCAATCTTCTCAAAGCAAGCCAGTTACAACATATTCACGGTTTTAAGTGAAGCCCAAGACAACTAAGAGGATCAACAATAGTCAAAATGCCATCAAATGCTTTGCTTCTTGACATACGCCATCAAATGCTTTGCTTCTTGACATACGCCAACTTCAACCAAACAACAAATGTAAGTTTGCCGATCATTTCAATTATGTTTTGGGAGGATTATTTGACTAATTTAGAAAAATTAGTTTGTTATTAGAATGATCTAAAAGTTTTTTTATTACTAGAATGATCTAAAGAAGAACCCTCTCCATAATTGTGACACGTCAGCACAGAAAAGCAGAACACGTGTCCCATTTTTATGGCTAATCTTCTCCAACGATTTTGCTTACCTCCAGACGAGAAGTTATGTGTCATTATCAACGCTTGAACTTCTCTTCTAAAGCTTCGATCCTTCAGAACCTTCAATCACTAATAACGCTTGAAAAATTGCTCCATAAGACCTTCATTCGTCTCCCAAACAGCCAATTTTCAACTTTGCTAATCTGCAATGAAAGTTAGATTCTTCCTCCAAATTCCAATTTCCTAAAATGAGATCGCTCATTGTTTGCTCTTCCTTCGTTTAATTTATCAAACCATCAACATCGCAGGCTCTCATTCTTCCTTTTGATATCTCTCTCTCCTATTGTAGTAGACACTAACACAATCGAGAATCTCCTTCACCGTTTGTATATGTGTATGTGTGTTTTGTTTCTACCATTTGGTATCTACTAACGATTTCTAAAAAGAAATATCTAAATTTTGTGGCAGGATCAAGGGCTGGATTTGATAGCTTGATTCTTGGATACAATTAAAAAAAATGGCTCAGGAGTCAGGACATGAATGAGGTTTGCCAATACAAAAAAATTATTGTGTGGTTGTTTGACATATTTCTTACTGACAAGTCAAATTGGAAAGTTTGCATTTTCACCTTGATGTGAATATCGTTTAACGATGTGTGCCTCGGGAAGGATGTGCAGATTCCCGTCAACGTCAATTTTGCTTGAGGTTTGTGGTGTAAGTTTTGTTTAGAGTAATGTCATTAGACAGCAGCCATATCGGTCAATCTACTTTCGGCCACAATAGAAATGAGTCAAATGGCCAATGACAAAGAAGAAAATCAGGAAACAAGGCATAGTTCTAACAACTACGAGCGTGAATTAGAGAAAATAGATTATCTGGATTTTTAGTTGAATCAAGTTGAAAATAGAAAAAACAATTGCTGCTTCTTTGGCATTTTATTGGGGAGTGAAAAAATTGATATCTTTTTAGGATTCAGGCATTGAGTAATGAAAACTCAATGCATGTATTGACTAACACTTTCTTTCGTTTGTATTGACTTTCCAAGGCCTTTGGTGCATAAGTTGCAGGTAAAAAACGGATGCTTCTTACTGTTTTGCCTTGGGAAAATGTAATGCCATGCCAAACACGTTAGCACAACTAATTTTGCTATCCTTGGCTGTGTACTACTAGGAAAACATTTAGACAGTCCACTCATTGTTGTAACTTCTTCAGCAAGTGTACTGAAGCAGTTTCTGCTGGTTCCTTCTCTGTTTTCTAGGGCCTTCTTGGATGATCCTTATGTCTACAAAGCCGGAAATTGTTGAATCAGGCTGCAACCCTATTGTTGGTTTCGAGGTTCAAGAACGGAGTGGTTCACACACCTAAGAATTGTGGTTCAGTAAAGCAAGGAGTGACAAGGATCAACAATCTGAACGGTATGGTCTGTAGCATGTTTTATAAATAAAGCAATTTGATAGTTTGATTTCTTTCATTATCTGACAAAGTTCATGACTACTTTGGAGATTGACAACTTTTGTTTCCAGAGTTCTCTGATCTCATAGTTGTATTCAAGAATTTAGAGGCTGCTAACAAGGTTTGGCTTTAAGCATCTTTGTCATTAGTGGGGGTGCATGAGTTTTTCTCTTTCTTTAGTCCTTGAAAGTCTCTTAAGTATAATAAAAATGCGCTTAGCAGAACGAGATGCTAGAT